CTTTAATTTGTTATGGTCCAAGAGCCAGGTCATAACACCTCCGAGGACCCCAAACAAAAATAAATATTATAATCCCTCATAATAAATAACAAGAATATTTTAATAGCACATTCTTTCAAAAAAGACACAAAATGCAGAATTAAAAGAGCTGCTAAGGTGGTAAAATTTAGCTAAGAGGACATATAGTAGCCAACCAATAGGAATTATCCCTCACAGCTTGTCACTGCCGTGTAGAAAACACAGCTGATATGCGGAATAAGGAGTTGTAGTCAGATTACCGTAGTAGTAAGATGCAATAACCCTCTGAACACACCATCCCTCTTTGTAAAGCATGGCGGCGGCAGCATTATGCTGCGAGGATTTAATGCTTAAACACTGACAAGGAACCTGGGCAGAGTTGACAGGAAGATGGATTGAGCTAAATATAGCGTGATGGAAATCATTTCGGGGAAAGAGTTGATGTTAAGGAAGCCACCAGAAATCAAATAGAATCTAATCATGATCTCAAACAACATATTCTTTGTTTCAAGTGTTATCCAAATGTTAAGAAAGTCCTAAATGTTAACAAAAAAAAAACAAAACAATAAGCTAAGGGTGTTTTTATGACTTTATGATAATTTCGGGGGAATTTAAACAAAAGAGTTTGTGAATTGTTCTTGAAGATCCCAACAACAAATAGACGGGAATTTTCTGCTATTACGGGGATTCTTTTGTCTGCATAAGGGAGAAAACTGATGCCTTTTCCTTCTTTTCATAAACAAGATTAGATCAAGGTGTCGTTGAAATGAAACACCAGCATGATCTTCTCAGTTAAGAAAGCATGTCCCTGCTTGCTGTTGAAAACAGGAGAGATGAAGAGGAATGCAGCGAACAGAGAGTGATGAAGGCCAGCTCTACGTTCTCTGTTCACTGTCCTATTTCATCCGGTTTTACTCATAATTGGTATCCTATAGTAGCAGCTTAGGCAAACAAAATGGTGGGTATAGGTTCCTATGCAGTGAATGGTCACATATATGCACTAAACAAAGAAAATAAGATATTTCTCCTCTTACATTACTGACTTTATTAAAATTTCTTAGGATAGTTCTAAAACTTCTGTGTCTTATCTTCGCATCAGAGTCCTTATCTACAAGCTTCGACTTGTGAATGCACCAATTGTTTGGTACAAACTCAACAACTGACAATGCAGCCTGTGTGAAAATGAACTCTCTCTCACAAAGTTTCAATTCATTGTTGCTAAGTTCATCCATGCCCTGGAGCATTGCTCCAGAGATGCGCCTAAACCCCAGAACAAATGAAACCAGAGATCCTTTTGACCTTTACAGGAGTTAGTTAAAAAGCACACAAAGTGTACTTTCTTCTGCAGCTTCCTGAAGCCATGTGAAAATGTGAAGTTAATCAAGTGTTTACGTTAACATCTGATATTCGTCGCTCCATATGTTGGGAGAAAAGTTGTTTGTTTTTTTTTTTGTTCATGCAAAACAATGCGGCTGGTTTCCTTCATGTTTTGTTCAAACTAATCTGTTGATTGGATACTGTTGGATCAAGAATTCATTTATATTTTTAACTAAAAACACATGATATAGGTGTTTAGAAACCGGTGCTAACAGATACACAGAAACATTGCATCAATAAATTAATTAACAGGGTTTTACATTTAGTATTTTAGGAAATCCATAAAGAAATATTGCACCTTATCTCAAATCAGGCTTTTGGATTAAGGACATAAACCAAAGATCATAACATATTTTATGAAAAGCCATTCTATACTGTTATAAATGATATGCTGATTAATTTGACGTAAACTGTGTGAATTCAACTTTTATTTCTAAACCTCTAAAGTATTGTTTGGGGATTTTTATTCTTATAAATTGAACAACGTTATGTTTTGAATCTGAAATAAAATAAAAATAATAATTCCCTTTAGCTGCAGTTTTTAAATGGATGCACA